ATAAGAGACAGTATATATATATATATATATATTTTAAATTTTAATTTAGCTTGAGAACTCAAGAGTTTTATGCATATCTTCACTGCTTCTTTGCTTTTTATACCTCTCATAAGACATTATTAGAAAATACTTTTAAAATATTGGTATGTTTTTTAATATGGTAATAATTTAAATTAATATTATGTCAATAATTGTAAGTAATATTATTAATGATAATTAGAAATAATATCTTAGTATTATACTATAATTTATTACATCAGTTTCTTTATAAAAGAGAAATATTGACAAAATTTTTGATAATAATTATATTTAATATCTTATCAGATTTAATTTTCTTTTTGCAACCAAGACCTTTTCTTTGTTGTTTATTGTCAATTAATTTATAATTAAGCAAGATTACCATAATATTACAATATATATAATTTTGAAAACATAGGAATCAAATGCCAAACATTTTGAAAACATAGGGATCAAATGTTTACAATTTTCAGTTTAAATGAGTTTAAGATTTATAAATGACTTTAGGAATAGCAGACAGATTAAAAATTGTATTTCAAAATAATTATTTTAGAATATAAAAGAAATCCAGGATAGAATAATTTAAAATATGTTTTCGAATAAAAAAATATCATCCAAAACACTCTTCCGATATGTATAAAATATAAATATTTCCTTTAATAGTGAAATAGTAATGCTTACAACTCATTCTTACATTTCTCTTATTACAAAAATTTTAATGATTTTCAAACGCTGTAAATTGTTGGAGTAATGAAGAAGATAATGCACGGAAAGAATAGCAGAGGTAGAGAGGAATGAAACTGTATTATCTGTATATTCAGTTCTGTATTGATTACAACTGTTTTTATACAAAGCAAAGAAAAAACAGATGTGCAAGTGTTATATTGACAGCTGCACTAGTGTAGAAAGGGTTTTAGACATATGTTATTTTGGGCTTTTAACGTCTGATCTCTGTCCAACGTCTATATGAGTGACGTTAATGAGACGTCAGTCAGACATCTATATAGACGTCCGATCCATACAGGTCAGACGTCTGTACAGACGTCTGACAGTATAGATCAGACGTCTAAAACGTTGTCGTATTTGATTGCATCTTTTTCTGCTTGAGGCCTCTCGGGTTGCTCGTGGTTCATGGTGATTTGATGTTTTAGTTGAAGAGAATGTATTGTACGTTTTTTTTTGTATTGTACGTTTTTTTTTGTATTGGATGGTTTTAAAAACGTAGTGGAGAAATTTGGAGGAGAGCAAAACGCAAGAAATTGCCGCCCAAGAACGCTGCCCAAGGACACGAGTAAAACTGCACAAAACCCCAATGAAAACGCATTTAATCGGTTCAAATGAAAGATAATGCATCAAAGAGTGATGTAATCAAAGTAAAATTAATTAAAAAAGTGCAAAAGTGAGAAAACGAACCTGAAAAGTGTAACCCGTAGACAGAAAACGCGAGGAAGATGATGAACATTAAGTGCGTGTAACTGCTGCTTCGCGTTCGCGGTGTTTTAATGTAGCCATATAGAAGTCGGTTCCCCCCACATCAGACGTCTATATGGCTGTAGAAGTCTGATTGGCGGGATTAGACGTCTAAATGGAGTTGAAAAGTAACTTTTTAGATTTCAAAAATGAGTATATAGAAGTCGGTTCCCCCTACATCGGACGCCTATATGGCTGTAGAAGTCTGATTGGCGGGATTAGATGTCTAAATGGAGTTGAAAAGTAACTTTTTAGATTTCAAAAATGAGTATATAGAAGTCGGTTCCCCCCACATCGGAAGCCTATATGGCTGTAGAAGTCGGATTGGCGGGATCAGACGTCTAAATGGAGTTAAAAAGTGACTTTTTAGATTTAAAAAATTAGTATATAGAAGTCGGTTCCCCCCACATCAGACGTCTATATGGTTGTAAAAGTCGGATTGGCGGGATCAGACGTCTAATTGGAGTTAAAAACTGACTTTTTATATTTCAAAAATGAGTATATAGAATTCGGTTCCACCCACATTAGACGTCTATATGGCTGTAGAAGTCGGATTGATGGGATCGGACGTCTAAATGGAGTTAAAAAATGACTTTTTAGATTTCAAAAATGAGTATATAGAAGTCGGTTCCCCCCACATTGGATGTCTATATGGCTGTAGAAGTCGGATTGGCGGGATCTGGCGTTTAAATGGAGTCAAAAAGTGACATTTTATATTTAAAAAATGAGTATATAGAACTCTGTTCCCCCACATCAGACGTCTATATAGCTTTAGACGTCTATTTCCTCCAGAACAGACGTCTATATGGTTGTTTTATTTACAGAAAAGGCCACCGGTCAATTTTTACGTTGGATATTCAAGGGTCGGATGTCTAAAGGGTGACGTTAAAGGCCTTTTCTGCACTAGTGCTGACCACCAAAACCTGACTTATAATATCTAATATTTTCCCCTAAGTTAGATACTTAAGAGAAACAACTCCTATGCTTTCTTTCAACATATCAAACTTTTCAATCTTCAAAGGCTTAGTAAACAGATCAACCAACTCCGCCTCAATTTTGCAGTGAGCTAAAACAACTCTATCCTTATTCACTATGTCCCATAAGAAATGAAATTTAACTTCTATATGTTTACTCCTTCCATGACTAATGAGATTCTTGGCTAAGTTGATTGCTGAAACATTATAAATCTTCAACTGAATTGGCTTCTTCATAGGCACCT